TTATTAAAAAAAAAAAAAAAACCAAAACCACAACGTGCTCCTTCACTCTGGGGATGTGGGGGGGATTTTGCGGTGGGAGCGGTACCTGTGGTGCCCATCGCAGGGAGGAAGGACGGCGTTACTTGTGAATCCTCGATGTGAATGATTTTGACCTGATATAAAACACCCTTCCCCAACACCTACTGCTGATCCCTCCAGGGGTGGAAAGAGCCGCTTGCAAAGAGAGATCGGAGAAATTTGTTTGCCAGTTATCTGTCTTTCATCCGTAGGTAGTCAGAAACCAGAGGAGCTGCCATTTGAAAGAGGGCAGCGGTGGGTCAGCCAAAGCCTCAGAGCCACCCCGGAGCCAAGGGACCTGCTCACTGCATTCATCTCTCCACCCCAGCGATTCGCCTGTCTTGATCCAGGGGGAGGACAATGCATTTTGCTACTGAATCAAAATAAATACATGCCCATAAAAAGCCTCTTAGGGATTGCCACAAATGGGGCAATGGCAGCAGCAAATATGCACATCCCAGCAGCGGCCCAGGTTGTCCCCCAGCACTGGGAGCAGAGGAAAGGGGAGTTTGTAACATTGGCCTTCAACCCAAGCAGCAGGAGTTATTCCAGGTGTGGCAGTTCTCCCGAGAACGCAAAAATCCCAGTAATGACTGTAAAGTCTGTGCCTGGTGTCTGCAAACAGCTGCGAGGGGCACGACTGTGACCGCCGGTACGCGGCGGTTTCTACCCACCACGGGCACCCCGACCCCGACCCAGCCAGCGTCTCCCCTGCGGGGACCATTTCGGTTCTTTGCCTGTTTTCAGCCTCAAACCCCCAGGAAGCTGCTCAAGGGGAGCAGAGGCTCCTGCTTGGCGCAGGGTTTCGCTTTCGGTGGTGCGAGCCGGTGCCATGGGCTGCTGCAGGGCTCTATTTCGCACGGGCCGGCGATGCAACAAGCAAAAGCCGCCTTGATTTGGGGTCTGTGCAGCGGTCGGCGAAGGGGGACGTCGGTTTAGGACGCAGGGGCTCTGCAGGGCTTCAGACTCTACCCAGCGTTGCTGATTTATTTCTGAAAGGGATCAAAACGCGCCGTATGAAAGGCGGGTCTGCAAAGCAGCACTGCCCAAGGCACGGGGACAGGCCACGTCCCCAGTGGGCACTCCTTCACGTGGGTCCTGATGCCCAGCCGAGGTTTCTCACTCAGCCACGGAACCACTTTCTGCGCCCCTTTGTCCCGAAATCCCTGCCCTGAGGGGCCAGCCCCACGCCTGAGCACGTCACCCCCTGCCCTGAGGGGTTTGACTTCAAAGTCCTGGAGCAGCCGATGCTGCCGAGGGTGCTGCAGCCATTCAGACAGCTTTATTCAGTAGTAATTAGGCAGGCATTGTCTGGCAGCTAGATTAATCCCACTTTTAATTATTTTGGAACTGTGTGAGATTTCCCAGGCATTAAAGATTATGTACGCACTTGCTGATTCCACAGCAATTATTCTAATGTAATGATGTCTATTAATACGTTTCCCAGCTTGCCATGCCCAGAGGGGAAATTCCCAGTTTCCCCCCGCCCCGTGGAGCACACATCTCCCACGCAGCATAACCCCCTTCTCCACCTGCTTGTGTTGTGGAAAGCAATACTTTCTACGTTTCACCTAACATTAATAACTTGACGGAGCTGTTGCCATACTGAGCACCAGGCATCGCTTGCAAAGGGGGAGAGAGACCCCTCGAGGCTCCACGTCCCCTCACACCCACCGAGCAGCAGCTCCTGCTGCGGGGCCCTGTGGGAAAAAACAGAGCATCCTTCCTTCCCCGAGAAACCGCTCCAGGGCTCGCTCGCAGCTGCAGCCCACCCCAAAAAAGCAGCTTGTATTCGTAGGGCTATTGGAAAGGAAAAGGTCACGACATCTCCATCCTGGATCGGGCTAAGCCATTTGACCTGAAATCAAAGGTTTAATTCAGCTTGCGGGTTGTTTGAACTCCTTACAGATTGCCTTTACAATTTAAAGATAGTATTTAAAAGAAGGATGTAATTTCAAAGGCCAGTAATAGGAGTGTGAGCTGAGAGCCTCAAAACAGAGAGCTGTTCTGAAATCTCACCTTTTATTTGGCCTAAATATCTGTTGAACTCATCCCTTTTCACTACGGCTCTCACCATCCCCCAACTTCGTTTACCAGAAAATTTACTACTCGCTGGCAGAATGAGTGTTGTGCCACTGGCCACCAAGTTTATGCTGTGGAGCTGAGACCTCATTAGCAGAATGAGGGCTGGAGCGAATGCTGTGCCAGAGGTCGTTTGCAGCCCTCTGTCCATGAATGCCCATCAGCAGATACATATATTCGACATAAACCTCTACAGTTTATATAGCTTATGTAGACGTTTATGTCAAGAACTGCTTGTGAACATCCTTGCAAGTGAAAATCTTATTTGCAGTCATGCGAGAGAAAACAGAAATTCAAAAAGCTGAGAACACCAAAAGGAGGCGGCCGTATTGCCCTCAAAATGAACACTCAGCCCTCACTATAAATATTTTGATTGCTTTGCATATATATTGTTTCAGCATTTCATTGCTCCCAAAACAAAAAGCGATATAACCTCACCTGCCTGGCGTGGTGCATCCTCGCAGAGCTAAACTGCATGACAAAGCTTCTGGGTAGAGACCACGGGTAATTTGGCTGATAGATCCTCTGGAAGCTTAGAGCCAAATTCGATTTCAAGTCTAAACTCATCCCTCCGTCTCTACAGCTAGCAGAGCAGTGATATTAGCATGATGGCAACGCCGTCGACTCTGAACTCGAGAAATGGATTAAATGAAATTACACTCTTCCCTGATGAGGCTGGGTGGAACGGGGATATTGCTTTAGGAAATCCAGAATTGAATTTCCTAAGTAAGAGTTCAGATGTTGGGCTATTTGCCCAGGCAGGTTTGCGCGGGCTGTTCCTCCCCGCCGTGCCTGGCAGTGGGGGGGGGGGGAAGGGGGGCTGCCCCCACAGCCCACCTTTGCTCGGGTCACCACTTGGTTTGTGGTTGCTCCGTCCCCCTTGGAGGCAGGAGATGCCAACTCCCCCCGCCCCGCACCCCCGTTCCCGCGCTGCCGCCCCGGCAGGGTCCGGCAATAACCAAACCACCCCCAGCTGCACCCAGCTGCTCTGGGGACAGGGCTATTTTGAGGAAGAGAAAGATTTAAATCTATCACCGGCTTGGAAAATATTTCTCCGGCAGAAGACACCTCAGTAAAGACGAGCTCTCCACCCAGAGCTGCTCTCTGCGGAGCAGACGTGGGCCAGCCTGGCAGCCCGGGTCCGCAGCCGAGGGGTTGTGTTAGTTCGACAGGTCCCCTCAATTATCTGGTATTTCTGGCTGAAATTTAAGAGAGGAGACGTATGCGTTTTCCTTCTCCTTTCCTCCGTGATTTCGTGAGCTGAATCAGCAATTGCACTGGTATCTGTCGGGTCTTCTTCACGGCTCTGTTAACTTTGAATAATGTGCGGATTTTAAAAAAAGCGTGTTAGTTGGTTTTCACTCAAAAACCAACATGATAGGAGGCAAACACGTATTCCAGCATACTGAAGTGTATTGTCTGTTATACAAAGAGGTGGCAAAGCTCATCGACAAAAATCAGCTGAGCGGTTCACTTCCAACAACCCTTATGTACCAGGTAGCCTTTAGGAAAGTTTTAGTCCCAAATGACGTTGTCCCCACGTACAGCACTTTGCCAGGCCCCGCAGGTTTCGGAGCTGAACAACTTTCCCATCTTTTGAAGGGCAAAGTGAACCAAGACATTCCCTTTAACATTACGTGCTAGTGCTACCCACCTCCGTCTCCCAGGCAGCCCCGGGTCCCACACCAGCTGCCCGGGGTTGATGCTGGCAGCGCCGCTGTTGCTAACATCTGGCAGAAACTTAAGAGACATCTTGGTGCTCAGAAGAGTTTTCTTCATGTGTGTCCAGGCTTTTCCAAACTTACCGGGGGGTTTGAGTGCTACTTGACTCACCGCTGGAGCTCCTCAGCTTCTGCAGTTTGTCTGCCCAACCACATCCCGCCCCCCGCAACCTCCCTCCCTCTCCTGCAGAACAAAGAGATTTCTCAGCTTGTTGAAGTACCCCTCTCAAAAGGCAACCCCCTTTTTAAACTGTTTTTACACCAGACTTCCCTGCTGGGTGCTTTTTTTCAGTTGCCGGGAAGCATTTTGCGTGACCTCCATCCCATTAGCAGCTCCACTCGCAGCGCTCTCGGTGCGCTGACAGACCTGCACGTAACGCCGTGCCCGTCCCACGCAGGTTTGCCGGCAGATCCCTCCACCCGCAGAGGTAAGACGCCCCTGCAGGTACCTGCCAGAGGAAGGGCACTTTGTCCTCACGGGGGAATTCCACCAGGTCAAGGCAAGGTCTCCTGCGGACACCGTCGGGTCTGCCACCTGCTGCAAGTCCTGCGGATCTTTTACAGCCACCCAGGAAAAAAAAAAAATGCCTCCATCCAAACTGTAAAAAAGCATCTTTTCTAGTTGATCTGGGGCGTTATGCTCAATTCATTCTCTCCGCCTTTTCCCTCTAATTCTGGTTTACCTTTTGTGTGTTTTAAAATGTCCCCCGGAGGGATACAGAAGGATGCGCTGGAAGTCAGCGGCCAGGCAGCATCCTCCAGAGCCGGCGGGAGAGAAAATGAAGGATATCGTGCAAAGGAGGAAAAAAAAAATCCCATGCACACAAACACACACACCTGCATACACAGAGAGAATCCCCTAATGCTCCAGACCGTCGGCAATCGTGTTTAAAATCACCAGAAACCACAGCTTGTTTTTCTGAGGGCGGCTCAGAAAAGCAACTCCTGAACCAGAGAAAGTTCAAAGTGGCTTCGTCCTTGAAAGCTGTAGTTTAAATACACTTCAGCAAAGCCGTGATTTTAAACTCGTATACTTGCCTGTCAACTGCTATTTCATTCGTGTCGAAATTACCGTTCATTCAGAACTGTGCAATTCCCACCACGTTGTCAGCTAAAGAAATAACCACATGAAAATCAGAAGACTGTAGTTAAATTTTATTTATCAGTTCTATTGTTAAATTACACAATCAAAGTCAGTGGATCGGCCTGTAAATCTACACAATAAGACAGCGTCTACAGTGGAAATCAGTAGAATTTGATATGGTTATGACAAAATGGTATCCTTATATTCGTACATCCCCTATATACAATAAACAGTATACACAAAGAAAATGCAACTAGTCTCTGTAAACCATGCACACCACAGCATAAAAACAAAATGCACCTTCTGCAACAGGCCCTCCAGCTCGCCCCCGGTTAAATCCTGTTTACAGCAGTGCCTTTCAGTTTTGAGAGCGAATTATTTCCCCCCGTAAAAACCAAAATACAACCGAGACATCGTGTTGGCGACGGCAGTTCTCATGTAAAAAAAAAAAAAAAAAAAAAATTAATTGCTGTACATGAAGTTATTCTCTTTTTCCAAGCTGCTAACGCAGGGTATCGGCTCGCTGCTGCTTCGCTCTCCGCTTGCCCCCCCGGCAGCGTTGCTGCCCCCCCCGGGTTCCAACACAACATCAGACGTCAACCAACTTTCAGATAACTTGGGCGCGGAGCCGTAGGAGGTTTTTAAAGCCTTCTGCCTGGTTTTATGACCCCCTGCCCTCTTGCTGGGTAGAATGTTACAGGCAACGGTGCAAGCGAGCCCCGGGAGCGCCGCGTGCCGCTGAACGTATAGCCCAAGCCTTGCAGAGGTTTGGCGGTTTTTATTTTATTTTTTATATATATATTTTTTTTTATTTTTAAATTTTTTTTTTATTTTTTAATTTTTTTTTTTTTTTTTGCATAGAGATTTCTAGGAGCCCCTCGCACCTCCCGCCCCCACCCTCTCTCCCGGCCGGTCTCGGCGAGGCCGAAGGGCTGCGGGGGGGCCCAGCCCCGGCCCCGCGCCCCGGCAAAGCCCGCTGGGGGAGCGGGCTGCTGCCCCGCCCCACGCAGCCTCCCCTCCCGCCTCGCTATGGCTATGGTAAAAACTGGTTCCCCTCGTTTTTAGTCATCGCTAAGAAGCGCTCAAGAGCGCAGGAAAAAAAAAAAAAAAAAAAAAAAAAAGAAGAAAAAAATAAAAAAAAAGCCCTGTTCTTATCTGGTGTAGCAAAGATTTACTGGAATTAAATCCTAATTCAAGTGTAAATCTACTTCCTCCGTTGAGCAATTCTCGTCGTAATATTGCTGGGATTAGAGAGTTTTATGACTTTTTAAAGACACTACACAAATATCTGCAACATAATTTCATCTAGTTTATACCACCAATTATTAAGGAATGATAAATTCAGCGTTATGGATTCTAATGGGTAAGAAAGACTTAAAATTAGACACTGCCACATGACTATCATTTGGAAAAGGCTTTATGGAACATGAAGATGTGCTGTAACTTTTCCAGAATGGTTAAAATCATATTGCCCTGAAAAATTCTGGAAACAGTGTCTTTAACATTGGCATTGAGTTCAGAAAAGTATGGATGTCTGGGTTTTGTTTTTTTTTTTTTTTTTGTCTTTTTTTTTAATATGAGACAGACCAAGCTTAAAACTCTAAACAGCAGTAGGTAGAAAAAGTTTAAAATTTTAAATATTTATATAACTAGAGAAATTACTTCTATTCCTTTTAAAAGCCAATATTATACATAAAACTAGTCAATATTTCTTCTAGACCTTTATTGTTCCCTTCATCGCCCATTCATTAACTTGGTAAATATCGTAAGCAGTTGGTGCCCTTGGAAACGCATTATTAAAATAAAATTAAGATAAAATCAAAGGGAAAAGGTTTTGCTCCTATACTGTATTGTGAGAGTATGCTAAACGCTCATTATTAGGAAATGAGTTTGCTTCCCAGATAGATTTCAGCTGAGCATCATAAACATTTTCCAGCATCCCATTTTGTACTCAGAACTAATTTACGGATTTTTTTTTTCTTTTTTTTTTTTTTTTTTCCCTTTTAAATAAACGTCCAAGCCACCATTTCCCATGAGCCTCCTCGGCTCCCGTATTTCACAAATAACCCAACCAACCTAAAAAGGACAATTTAATCGCACGCTCAGCTTGAGTGTTCCACGTACGGTACGACGTTTACTGCAAAGGCAACTGCAAAGGCAACGTTTTCACCTCTTTTTGCTCCGAACCCTTGAGAAGCGTGACTGGGGGGGGGGGGGGGGGGCTGCTCCGCCGCCTCCCGTCTGCGGGGCCTGCTCGGCGTGGGGGGTGCCCGGCGCGCCCCCCGCCACTACCGCCGCCACCGCTCCACGTTCCCCGTGTAGTCGGTGCTGGAGCCGTTCTCGCCCCGCTCCCTCCGCCGCGCCTGCTTCGCCCTCAGGATCTTGCGCTGCTCCTGGCGTTTCCGCCGCGCTTCCTGGTGCTCCTTCTGCCGCATGTACTGGTAGCGCTGCAAGAACAGGTCTTTTGCATAATCGTACAACTCCATGTCTAAAAAATTGAGGGCCTCGATGCGCTGCTGAGTCTGCCTGTCTATCTCCACGCTGGAGGCCCTTGTGCTATTGTACTGCGTGAACGGCGAGATGAAGTTCATGTTGAAAGTCTTCTCAAAGAGATACTGAGTCTTCCGCTGAAATTCGGTCAGGCCGAAGAAGGCCATCCGCTTCAGGTTCTCCTTGGCACTGTCCAGCAGAACCTTATTTCTCTGCTCCTCGGGCATGACCGACAGGTTGTAGCATCCCACCAAGCTGAGGTCGGACAGCATGCGGACCTGGCGGTTGTTGGCGAGGTTGTAGGGGCAATCCATGAACTCCTGCAGGGAACAGCCCGACCAGTCGTCCCCCGCGTAGCAGCTGGGCAGCTCCTCGGTGGTGGGGGACCGCCCGTCGCAGACGTGCAGGGACGCCTTCCACGTGGCTCCTCGCTGGACGTGGCGCCATTCGCTCAGGTACCGGGAGACGGGGTCACGCAGGATGGTGATATAGTAGAAATTCCTGCCAAGGGGAGAGGAAGGCAGAGGGTTTATTTAGCCCCGCGCGTCGCCAGCGTTCAAAAAGCAACAGGAACTTGGAGGTGCGCCTAGGAGGCTCTGGGGCAGCCCTGCTGCAGGGTGCTCCTCTGCGCGTACGTTTGGGAGGACGGCTGAACAAACTCCCCGGGGGCACGGGGAAGGGTTCCATCTACCCGCGCACATCTGCCTCTGCTGAACGGGTTTTGCCCCCGCAGAGGCAGAAGGGAAACCAAGGGTCCCCTCTGGGCTGAGCTGCCAACGCGCTCCCGCTGGGGGCCTCGACCGATGCTCTCTCCAGACCTTGGGAGTATAATCAAAATATCTCCAGACCTTGGGAGTATAATCAAAATATCTCCCGGGGATGTACGCCCCGACCCAAGCAGGGCATGGGCACCCCCGGCTTCCTTCCCTTGTCCAACAGAGCTCCACTGACAAGTTTATGCTGCCTGCAAAAAGCTGCTCGCGCTACGTTTCCCAAGGAGCAGGCGTGGGTCGCAGCTGCGCCAGCCCCAGAGCAGCGTTACACCTTGGAGGAAGACGTTTCCTACAAGACATTTCTTTTCACAGGCCAGACAGATGAGACGTGCCCAGAAGCCCCAACCCACCGAAACGAGGATCTCGGAGAAGCCCATGCAAATCCCGTTTTATTCCTCCTGCCTTCACCTGATACAGGACTGCAACGATGAGAGAGGAGAGATGAGCGAGTAACAGGAAATTAAAGGATGCGTTACAGCATTTTGTAAGAGAAAACATTTCCACGGGAGGTGCTGGCTTTGGTTTGGAGCAACAGGCCAGTGGCACACGCTGGGGACACGCTGCTTGCTGTCGGGAACCCCGTCAGGCCTCCAGCTGGAAAAGCCGCAAGCTCAACCGTACCTACAGCATTAAGAGATCACTCCGGGCCCCGCGCTAATATCCACCACCAAACACCACGGCGCCCACCACCAGCAGCCCGAAGCCATACGCACCGAGCTCTTTGCACCTCCTTAAATAGGACCACGACCTCAGCGATGGTGCTGGAGGTACGCTGTCAGGATACCAGCCGTCTGCTGAAGTAAACGGAATTAAAGTAGCTCAATAAGCAAAATGGTCCTGCCAGGGAAAGCCGCTCCTCCAGGATGAGGACACCGAGGAGTGCGTGCCTGGGAGCCCCGAGCCCCCGCGGGGTGATCGCCAGGTCCTCGGTGCTGCTTAAGGAGGAGAAAGGACTTTCATTTGCTTTCCCGAGTGGCATCACGACGGGCCACCCAGCAGCCTATCTGTTGTTCCCTATCGTTTCTTTTGGCAGAAAAGCCACTAGATGTCAATGTTTTACAGAAAATTGTCTCTGGGTGGAAAAAAAGCAAAGGGAATCGCAAGCACTAAATGCATCCAACAGCACAAGGGAAAGGAAACCTGGAGAGTTGCATTCCTCTTCCCGTTCAGAGCATCCAAGCTCATAAATAACTAAATAAGTAGGAAGTACAATAAACTTACAAAACCAAATAAAGCCGAGGAGCCCTGTACAGCATCAGCGGCTGGACACAACGGCCCCTTGGAGAGCCAGGACACCGCAACCAGCCCTGCCACCGCCCCCACGCTCACGCGGGCACTGCTGCCTCCCAGGGCTTTGGCCACAGATTCACACAGCCAAAGGGAGCCAAGGCCCCCCACCATGATCTCAGGAAGGTCTTTTTTTTTTTTTCCCCCAAAAGCGCCATTAAATGATTTCGCAGTGAGAGCTGGAGTTGAGAGGGAGCAAGGACAAAGCTCTCACTTTCACGTTGCGCGCCCAGAGCGGCAGCTGCCGACCTCACACTCTCCCTTGCAAAGATGGGAAGTGTTTTGCTCTCTCTCATCTCAGCAGGTCTCTGGCAGCCTTGGAGAACCCCACCCGGCAAAGGGAAAGGGCCTTCCACGAGCACCATCCCCCCAAGCGGCCAATCTGACAAGACAGAAGCTGCCCCTGGTCATGCTTGTGCAGCAGGCTCCTTCCACACAGCCTTGTCGGGGTCCCCAGCGTGGGGAAAACGGAGCATCTCCGGGGCAAACCCTGGCCCCTTCTTTAGCTCCTGCCAGGACTCCTCACCCCTGGATCCAGTTTGTTGGGATACTGCACGAAGATAATGACCCAACCCTCAAGCAATAACAAGCTCGTGGCGTACAGCACTGAACTCTACACTAGCTACAGCAACTAACATAGAGCAACAGATCTCTGATGCCCGAGGAGGTAAAAGCAAAGCTCTGGAGCACCTTGCAGGAGCTGGCCCGTCAGCACTTCGGAAAGGCTGGGACGGGAGTGGCGTGCGGGCAGGGGGGTGCTGCTGGCTGAGGGAGGAGGCCAACAAACCCACACGCTCTAAGGTCATCACAGCAATCGATGGGGAGTTAATGCAAGAAGGGAAACAAATCCTGAGCCGAGATCGATACAGCGAGCATTTTATCACAGCTCAAACTCTGCGGCCGCCCTCCCTTCGTGCTCTTCGGTCACAGGCAGTGACAAAGCGCCTCCCCTTGGCTGCTGTTGTAAAAACAAAAGAATGAATAAAAACTTGTATGATGGTGAAAGAAACTGCGCCGTGACGGATCCCCACCGCCCCGGGCGGCCGGCGGGCAGGTATCATCAGGCGTCAGGGGACACCGCCGCAGCCGGGAGAGACTGGGGAGAGGAGGCTGAATAACGACGAGCACCGGACTTTGCAGCGAGCGTGGAGGCATCTGGGCTCCCTGCAGAGTCCTGTGCCTGTTATTTACACCGTGTTGTTATTTCCCAGATGAATCCTGCTCTCAGGACACGACTTACAGAGAGGTGCTTTGTCAACTGCTGGCCCAATCTCAGCTGTTTTGTGCGTTTCTCCCCTTCTTAAGTTTCCCTGTTAAAATGCTACCCCAAAAGATGCCGTCCCGTTTGGGAACACCAGCTTTTGGGCTTGCCCTGAGCCACTCTCATCCAAGCTAGAAATCACGGCAGCTCCAGAAAAGCAGCCGCGCTGCTCTGCATTTACCTGAACTGAGCTCCAAAAAGTCACAAAAGCTTTAATGCACCGTCAAGTCAGAGCCATGCCAGAGATGGATTTGGCCATCAGCACTTAGAGCATCCTTCTGCTGCAACTGGGAGGAAGATTAAAAGCTTTGTAATTATTTTTAGCTCTGTACGTAACAGCTTGTTCTTCCTGCTATCTTAACGAGGGGGTGTCGAGCTCTTGCCCGTTCCTTGAAGCTTGTGCTTCAGAGCCCGAGACAACATGTTTGCAGGTAGAGCTCAAACTTTACTGTGAATCATCCCTCTGACTTAAAGAGCTGCACTCATCAGAAACACGGGTTTTCTAATAAAGTTGAGCTGGATGATGATGAAACAGAGAACAAGAGGAGCTCGCAGGCAACTCAGAAAGTAGGCTGACCCTGGAGCCATCAGGAAAGTGAGATGGTGTGACAGTCACTTGCTCTTGGTGTCTCCCCGTGCACAGCTACTCCCCGAGGAACACGGGGAGCAAACAGTCTGATAACGTTGAGTTTGTTCCCCATGCTGCATCACCCACTCTGCTTCTCACGTCACGGCAAGGCTGAAGCCAGAGTGCTTTCGGGAGCTGTGAATTATTCGCACACAGTTTGTTACCATAGAGCAGCTCAGGTCAGAAGCTCCCCTCAAATAAACGCCCGGCTAATGGCACCCCACTACTGGGGTGTGAAAGCTGGGCTTTCTTGGTGCTTTGATGCTTCTGCCCATGGGTGGGACAAGGAAAATGGGAAAATGGCAGGGACAGGCAGGGTGGGGTGCTGGAAGCCAGGGGTGGAGAGGCATGCTCGGCCTCCCCACAGCCGTAGCGATGCCAGCCCTCGTGCTGCATCCTCCCGGCACGCCAGCGGCCACACGAACGCCCCGTGCCCGCTCCGAGGGCACCTGAATAACCCGCACGGTCACGAAGATGCTCCATCCTCTTCGTCCTGCGCAAGCGCTGCTACCCCGTGTCAGCATCCCAGAGACCCCCCCCCACGGGAGCAACACATGCTGGGTTGGGGGGACAGCGCAAGTCCCTGCCTGACATTTGTGCCCTGAGATGACTTTTGCTAAGATAAGATGGTTGTTGTTGAAAGGGACCGAGAAATGTGTGCTGTCAGTGGACAGACCTGTCCATATCCTCAGCCCAGAGCAGCCCTTTCTCTCCCTCCTGCACACCCCCTGGACAAAATATGAAGGAAACTGAAACCTCAAAGACCTCCGTGAATTTCTGAGGGGTTTACTGAGACTGAGCCACCTGCTTGCTTTGAAGGACAATTCTGTGGTCACATAGTACATCTGTGTCAGCATCTCTTCCCCACCTCTGCCCAGCGCAAGGGCTGAATGAGAGTCCTTTTTTTACTGATCGAGTGATTTTTTTTTTAAAAGCATCCTTGGAGAAAGCTTCTAAAAGCAACATTAAAGAAAAAAAAAATTGAAGTCAAAGAGAGGAGGTGTGAAACCCAAGGGGATAACAGCGCTGGAGTAAAGCCAGAGAATTCAGAGCCCAGAGAAGCTTCCAGGGAAGGGATACGCAGCTGCTCCTGCCGCGGCACTCCGGAGGCTCACTGTATGCAGAGCTGCCCTGCCGAAGTGAGGTGAGGAAGGGGTGCCTTTGCTTAAGCACCAAAATGGGTCAGAACCTCCCGAAGTAAGAGTACATCTCCTCCCAGCCCAACTGGAGGAGCAGGCTGCGGAGCAGGACAGCAAAGCAGCACCAACCCAGGCGGTGCAGAGAGAAGGGGTTATGGCCAAACCTGCGGACGGAGCGCGTGGGGAAGGCTTGCAGCTCCCTTCGCTCCTCCTTCGCCCTGCCACGAGCCCCCCTGCCACGAGAGGCCTGGCAAAGCGGATCAGCAGCAGCTGAGCATCCATCCTACGGGTCTGAGAGCAGCGGGCCGCGGGCCGGTGGCAAAGGGCTCGCCAGGAAACTCTTGTCTAGCGGCTTTAACTCTTGGATGTGCTCCCAGGGCACCTTAACCCCCCGTGGAGAGGCTCTGAGCGACTGCTGTGGGGTCCAAACGGGCATGATTCCACAAGGACCATAACTAGGGCTGGCTTCAGCTTGGCACGTCTGAGCCCCTTCGGGTCAAAATTCCCGCCAGAGCCAGGGCTGAGGAGTATCGAACCCTGCCAGAGGACAGAGGCTGCTCGGCTGTTTAATTGCTCGTTGAGTGAGGTAGAGGAAGGCTGGAGGTCAGTCGCTGGCAGATGCCATGCCTTCAGCCTGGAAACCCGAGCCTGGCTTGATGGAGCTATGAGGTAAGGAGCTGGAGAGAGGAGCTGAAAGCTAAACATCCACTCACCATTACATCCATTAGCGTACGGATCAGTAGGCGAGGGACTGAGTGACCTTTTCCCATTTCTGCTGAGAAATGAAGCTCTAGCAGGAAGAGCTTTGTAGGCTACAGAGGGCAAGAAACCTACAGCCTTTGCACAGGCAGAATTGCAGCCCCGGGATTGTCCTGACTTCCCCCCTAGCCTGCACCTGGAGGCAAACTGACCCGGGAAAACACCGCTTTAGCACAGGGCTGGGGAAGCAGAGCTATGATATCCGAGGAGTGTACTGGGGCAGTCCCACTCACCCAGCAAAACCAAGGCTACCCTTTAAGCTGGCTCAAGCACACCAGTCTGTATCTAGGTCAAGCTCATCCAGATGGCAAGCCTGGCTGGAATGGTTTGGAGTCACAGACGGGC